CTTCTCTATGTTTTCTATATCTCATACAAATAGTTTGACACGTAAAGGGAATTTGTTATAAACGACTCTTGTAGGATTTTAAGTTGCAAACAATATAAAGGCTCAACAAAGAGAACTACAATGAAATTTGGTTGATATAATACTTTACAGCAAAAAAAAATACTTTACAGCCACTAAAAATCTTATGATTAAATATAGAACTTGTCACATATCATTGGTTAAAATATAAGCTATAATATATGCAATATCCATAATTAGTAAAACTCAGATTATAAAATGTTTTAATTGGCATCTATGCTGTTCTATAAAATGAAGACAAGGGCCATTAAAGAAAGTTTTCCACAGCTACATATGGAAAAAATAGATTTTGCAAGCTAGGTATGAATTGTTTACATTTACATTTTTATACTTTCCTTCTGTCAGGAACAAAATTATATACACATTAATTACATGTACAGGGCTAGGGAGATAACTCGGCATGTAGTGTCTGCCTGGCAAGCGTGAGGATCCGGGCTTGATCCCCACTGCCACATGCCATGCTGGCCCCATGCTAGGCTGGCCACCAAAACTGGACAAGGTGGCACATGCCTGTAATCCCAGTCCTGGGGAGGCCGGAACAGAAGGATCGCTACAAGTCTGAGTTGTGTAGCATGACCCTGTACCAAATACATACATACATACATACATACATACATACATGATTAAGAAAACTTTTAAACACTACATATACAAATTTATAGAAATTACAAATAGGAACTTTGAATTTGGCAAAAACAAAATAATGAGAAAAGAACCAGAAAAAAAGACCAAAAACGCCTGATCAGAAATACTAGAAGATTAAAAAAAAATTGAGATTAAGTTTGAGATCCTCAGAAGTCGGGCGTGGTGGTGTACACCTGTAATCCCAGCATTCAGGAGGCTGAGGCAGGAGGAGCCCTTTGAGTTCGAGACCAGCCTGGGCTACCAAGTGACCTCAAGGCCAGCCTGAACTGCATAGAGAGACCCTGTGTGAAAAAGACAAAATAATCTGAACATTAGTGCTCTTTCTAGTCTGTCATGATCTGAAAAATAGCATAGCTGCCCCCTACAAGGTTATTAATTATATATGGGTGATTTCACATGCTTATGGAAACTATAGTCATGTATTATGTAGATTTTTAATTAATTGTAGGATGATTTTTATAATTATCTTCATTGGTTTTGACCTCATCAAAGAGACATTCCTTGACTACTTTTATAAAAATAGAGCTTATCTTTTTGCCTTTGCCAAATTTTTGCATTTATTGTCATATAACTGTTTGCTGACTCCCCCCCAGCTCCAAATACAATGAAAGCTTATCATAAGGCAGTGCAATCTGTGGTTAAAGCACACACATTTAGAGCTGCACATGGTGCCGCACACCTGTAATCCCAGCACTGGGAAACTAAGGCAGGAGAATCACCCCGATTCAAGGCCAGCCAGTGGTACACAGTGAGTTCAAGCCAGCCTGTACTGCATATTGAGACCCTGCTTCTAAGAAAAGGAACGCACATGTAGGAACCGTGCGCCTGTAATCCCAGCACTCAGCCCAGGCTCAGATGCGTAGCTCATATGTAATAAGATAAATGAAAGAAAATTTTTATAGTCTTACATCATTTAGATGTGTTACTATGTTAATAATAGTATGCTCTTTTATTTAGGGTTTTTGTGCATGTGTGGTGAGGGGCTGAATGCTCAGTCGGCACGTACCCTGTCACAGAGCTATGTCTACAGCCCTTTCTCAGCTTTATTTTGACATAGGATCTAAGTTGCCCAGGCTGTCTTCACACTTGAAATACTCCTGTGTCAGCCTCTCGAGGAGCTAGTCCTGTAGGCATGTGCCACCATCTCCAGGTAGCATTTCATTCATTTCTGTATGCATTAATTTAACAACATTATCTTTCAATTTGCACGTTTTAAACAGTGGGCGATAATGTATATAAGTATTAGAATAGATTTATTCCATCCCTATTGAAAAATTAATTTTCAGTATGGGTAACCATTGTCATAACTATTGCTACACATTCCTCCATTTGAAAAACATGTGAATCTGAGGGTTAAGTTTCTGGTACAGGGTCTGCAGGGTCTTCAGGGTCTCACTATGTAGCTCAGACTCACAGTGATTCTTCTGTTTTCAGCCTCCCAAGTGCTGGGATTACAGGCCCAGTCTCAATCACCATCTCAGCGTGCCCCGTAGGCAGGGCAGCATGGCATGCCAGGGAATGAACCCAGGCCACTGTGCTCTGCCTAAGCAGGTGCTTTAGTCCCCTAAGCTATCTGGCTGGCCCCAGAATCTAAGTATTTTATGCTAACTGTTCCGTAACACTGGTAATATAAAATGTGTGGCTCAGAGAAACAGATTTGATTAACTTCCTATGGTCCAACATTTACTGGGTGTTCAGTGCCTAGCAATTGCATTTTGAAGTTACTTCTTTCTGATGACAACATGCTGAGGTAAGTACTGCTTTTCAGAGAGGAATCGAGCTGGATCTGGAGGGTGGACCAGGTCACCCATGCAGCTGCTCATGGGAAGTCGGTCTGCGGAGCCAGGCGCTCAGACTCCCAACTTGGTGCTATATTGCACTGTGTACCTTCACAGATACTTCCGTTAGAAAGAGAAATTACTGGATAGTCTAAGTTCATGTGCTTTGGTAGGAACGAAGGATTCAGAGTTTAAGTGAGATGACTAGATCCTAACACTGGTGTGAATGGCAGCACGAGCCCATCGAGTGCGGTAGTGCACACTGGTAATCCCAGCACTCAGGAGGACCTCAAGGTTGAGGCCATTCAGACTACACAGCCAGGCTTTGTCTCAGAAAGACAAAATAAAACTCTGTGAATCACTTTGAAGTCTTTCAGGCAGTGACCCAAATATATAATTTATTTTTCAACCGATTAGTTCACAGTTTGAGTCTCAACATAAAATTGATCTTCAAAAGTAAAAGTGACAATTTACGAGATTGTGTTTACTAAAGCCCTGTATCATCTTCATAATTCTGACTAATGAATCATGAATTTTCATATGCTTTTCTTCTTCAAAAAACTTACTTTTCAAAAATATTCTAGCTGTGCTGGGGCACGCTGAGATAGCGATTGAGACTGGGTGTGGTGGTTCACGCCTGTAATCCCAGCTCTTGGGAGGCAGGACACAGGTGGATCACTAGGAGTCCAATCTACGAGTCCTGTCTCTGTAGTGAGACCATGTAGACCCTGTACTAAAAATAATAAATAAATAAATTTATAGGAGCTGTTTATAAAAACAGTGCACTTATTGCTTTTTGTAGTCCCTTAGGTCACCTTCTAAAATTAGTAAGGTTCCAGGTGCTTGGCAGCCACACTTTACAGTGCAGTTATAGTCAAGTCCAAGAGCCACACCACACACAACCAGTCCTGAAAATGGCATGGAAATGGCATCAAGAAACCTCGGTCACAAAGATCCGAATCTCTGAAGGGGGTACATCCCAAGTTCTTAGGAACATGCATTTTGCCAAGAAGCACAAGAAGGGCTTCAAGAAGATGCAAGTGAACAATGCCAAGGCCCTGAGTGCACACGCCGAGGCTATCAAGGCCCCCGTCAAGCCCAAGGAGGTCAAGCGAAGATCATCCCAAAGGGAGTAAACTGCACACTCGCTCGACTTGCCTACATTGCCCACCCCAAGCGTACCTGTGCCCACATTGCCAAGGGTCGCTGGCCTCACCAGCCAAGGCCAGGCTCCAGCTTCTGCTCCAGCCAAGGCCAGGCTCCAGCTTCTGCTCCAGCCAAGGCCAGGCTCTAGCTTCTGCTCCAGCCAAGGCCAGGCTCTAGCTTCTGCTCCAGCCAAGGCCAGGCTCCAGCTTCTGCTCCAGCCAAGGCCCAGGCTCCAGCTTCTGCTCCAGCCAAGGCCCAGGCTTCAGACAAGGCCCAGGCTCCCAGAGGTGCCCATGCCCCCATGAAAGCTCCACAGTAAAAGCCTGTTATCTTCTGATGTAAAAACAGAAGGAGTGGGCTGGTGAGATGGCTCAGTAGAATAAGTGCTTCCCTGGCAAGCGCAAGGGCCTGAGTTCGATCTCCGGTTGCACTAAAAAAACAAAACAGAAGGACTGGTGTGACCCCTGGGGTACCATGTGTGGGGGGCTGGTGTCCTCCTGTGCTTTTTGTACAAATCAACCTGGGGCAGGATGTGTTTAAAAATAATAATAAAAAAATAAAATTAGTAAATTGGAATCCATTATCTCCTCATTTAATCTTTTTAAAAATTATTCATTTATTTATTTGATACAGGGTCTTAGCATACAGCTCGGACTCCTCCTGTCTCAGCCTCCCCAGCAATGGGATCATAGGCATGTGCCACCACACCTGGTTTTGATGGCCACCACGGCATGTGGTACTGGGGATTGAACCCAGGTCCTTGCGCTTGCCAGGCAGGCACTTAGACTGCTGAGCTAGCTCCCTAACCCTGTCTCTTCATTTAATCAGAAACTTTAAATTCTGTTTTTAAATTTGTAGGTACAAAACTAATATTTGATAATGGGTAAAATAAATGTCTTTATTTTTAGTTGTTACTTTATTATTTCGGTGAATGAGTTTATTGAATTCTAGAATTACAAACCATTAAATAGATGGCTCACATGCTTTATTTTTACCTTGTAGGAAATGTAACAGTAATTATATGTAGCATGTAAGTGATAATTCCAGATTTGCTTTAAAATACATTTTTTGAAAAATGTGCTTAGCCTCTTATTGGAATAGCAGTTGATCTTTGTGGCATAGAAACTGATATTTTCAAATTTTAGTTTGTTACTAAAGCACTAAATTTCTCATTTGACATTATATCCTTTCCCTGTTTTAGAAATGGCTACATTGTTGTTATTTCATGCTTAAATAAAGTCTAAGGCATCAATTTTTAATAACATTGGCCAGTTGTAGTTTTGTTAATATGATTTGAAGAGTTGTGCTGTGTGTGCCACAGATGTTCAGTAGTGTTTTGTCCTGTTTTCTTAGGAGCTCCCTGCGCCGTTACTTGACGGTAGCTATAAAAAAGAACTTGATCAAGATGGATGCAGTCATCCAGCAGCAGACGCTAAAGTGCAGATGAAAATAGCGTGGCGGTACCAGTTGTTGCCCAGGAAGGAGGCAAGTCACCCTGCAAGCTATTCAGAAATTTTGCGAGGGCGCTGATTTTTGTCTCATGCACACGACTGTCTACCTGTTACTCTTTGCAATACAAATGGTATTTGTGTACTTAAATAGGCATTTCATTTAGAATGTTTTATTGAGAAGGCATATGTCTTAGAAATAAAATGATTTTTTTTTATCAAAATGGATTTTTTCATTTCTTGCCCTGTTTTGTATATAGAATTCTTTATGCTAGTTGCTGGCTACAGTAAGTAAATGGATAAGCCATTTATGTTCAGTGTGGTTACCTGCAAGTGTTCCATGTCAGCGGTGGTTCTGAATGGCTCTTTTTATTCCTACATGGAGTCAACCACTTCCAAACCCAGTTATTTCCAGTCAAGACCAGGCTGAGGGGCCAGGGAGATGGCTCAATGGAAAAAGCGCTTCCCTGGCAAGCGCAAGGGCCTGAGTTCAATCCCCGGTTCTGCTTGAGTTCGGTTAAGCCTGTCCCCTACAGTGGGGGGGCTTCATGAGAGCCTGTGTGCCGCTTCCTTTCCACAGTACTTACTGTGGAGCCTCCCCTAGGCATTGCAGGTGCTGGGCGAGCTCTGGCACTGGGCTGCATCCCCTGCCCTTTTTCAGTTTTCTCTAAGTCTGAGATGCAGCCATACTACACTCCCCAGGCAGGCAAGCTTTCAATTCCACGGCACTCAGAGCTTAGCTTTTTCTCTTCAGCTTTTGTCTCGGGGCCAGCCCTTCAGTTGGTCCTCAGTTCTTTAGCCTTTGCTCTCTCTGCTTGCTATGAAGTCTGCCTACTATGTGGGGAAAGGTTCTTTGTTAATTTAGAACTGCATTGTTTCTTTATAATCTACTGTTTTGGATTGTAAATTATATCATTCCATTCTGCTGTTGAGAATACAGTGCCCCTGTTGGTACTTTGATTATTTATGGAGTCAGCTTTCCTAAGGTTGAATATTAGCAAATAACTCTCAGTGTTCAATTTTCAAAGTTTAAAGCTTGTATGTTTTGAAAATTGTATGCTTTTTGCACTGACCTCCAAATCCCACATTCTCCCATCTTTCCATGTGTTTGCTGATCTGTCGCTGCAGCAGGAGTGGCTTTCCACTCTCTCCTGTAGTTTCATGCTGTGATTTGTTTTCCTTCAGTCCACTGGAGGCCATGAAAGGCAGCAGGTCACATGATTTCTTACTTGTCATCTCGCTCCTACTAGACTGAGCTCAGGAAGAGAAAGAGTTTGGCTATGTTGTGTCACTGGCATACAGTGGGTGCCCATGGTCACTTGGCTCTATGAATGAGAGGATTGGATAGTCTGCAAGTTGAGGGTTAAACTGAGTTAGGTTGCATTAATAAGTAACACAGAAGAGCAGCTTGCTTGACCTTATAGTTAATAGTCAAACAAGTTTATTTTATTAGCAAGTGAGTGCTACAAAGAACAGAGTCTTGTGTCTTTGTTGCTGTTCTCTGAAATGTATCCAGCATGTATATTTGCCTTTCGTGGTTATTTTATTTTATTGTTTGCCATGCCAAGGGTCAGACCCAGGGCATGTGCTAGGCAGGTGATCTACTACTGAGCTACACCCTCGGCCCCATGCTGACACTATGTAGAGTGATTTACCAAGACCGACAGCCCTCAGTCACCACTCCGTGTCGTGTACTGTGAGATTTCTGCTCTCTCTGCGATGTCCAGTTTAGTTTGTGGTGCTGGGGATCAGACCCGGGGCCTCAGGTCTGCTAGGCAAACGCTCAGCCACTGAGCAGTGCCAGTGGCCACTACTTCCAGTTTATGACAAAGCCAAACAAAAGAAAATGTGGGATCTTCTGCTCTTTTACTTGATACGAAATGCAGTTAAGATGACTTTAGTTTAAGATTAATCAAGTAGTCCAAGCCCAGATTGCTTTGGTGTAAGTTACCACCAGCCCTTGAGAGTGAAGTGGGATTGCACTGAGGGGATGTAAAGCAGGGAGCATGTGCACATGTACATCAGTAGTATAGTTCTGGAAATCAGTGGCTCACCCGCGGCAAGGAGTCTGCTGTCCTGGAAGCTCCCTGCCCTCCCCGTAGGATTCTGACTCTGCACAGTGGCCCTGCCCACTTCTCTGCCAGCACGTCAACAGCCCTTCTGCCCTCCTCACCCCACAAGCTGGCCATCTACACTGTATTCTGACATTTAGCTTACTCAGTATTTTTTTAAAAAATTTTTTTTATTTTATTTATGTGTGTGTGTGTGTGTGTGTGTGTGTGTGTGTGTGTGGCCAGCTCAGCCCACCAGGGGGCGGGGCTGGCTGGCATGTGGTGCTGGGGGATTGAACCGCGGTCCCTGTGCTTTACTAAGCTTGTTCTAAGTAGGCGCTTTAGACCACTGAGCCATCTCACCAGCTTACTCAGTATTGTAGAACTCATCTCCTGTGGCCTACTGTGGCTCCAGGTTTCATGGCAGTGTTGGGCCTTCGTATGCTGAATTCCCATTGCACCTTGGCCTTCCATCTTAGGGTTTAGCCCACAGTCTTGTGGCAGATGTCTGCATGTGTAGATGACCAACAAGTGTTATTTTTCCATAAGACAATTAATTACGAAGGACACTGATAGATCTTCTGATCCTCTAGCGAATCATGGCACGATCATAATAATTAATAGCACTTTACACTGCCTTACAATTACACAGTGTCCATTGCCAGGATTGCACTGGACTCTCACAACAGCCTAATGCAGTCATTACTGGCTCCAGTTGGGCTGACTGAGCTGAGACCCAAAAAAGTCTTGTGGCTATTTGGCTTCTTGCTTCCTTTGTGCCGTTCTGAGCAGCAAGAGGTGAGAACGCGGTAAGAAGATGTTTTCTCTGCACTGTGTACTTGCGGCGTAGCTCCTCCCTGAAAGTTTTGCTTCTGCTAACGCCCTGTGGCAGGGACCGGTATGTTCTATTGCTGTTTCCTTTCTGTACCTCGCGGAGTTCATTTTCTTTCAGCACAGTAAATTTTTACTATTACATTGTCCTCCTCGATGGGAGCCAACGTTAAGGGTAATTTATGCATACGAAATAGATGGAAAACTAAAGTAACGTTTTCTTAGTAGACTTAAGTAAATTGGTTATTGATGACAGTTTGATTTTTTAATGCATTTATTTTTATGAAGTGAATTATAGTATTTTATGGATAATTATTATTGTTTGTAGTATTTGGATATCTTTTTTAAAGGACATGTTTGAGTGTTTGTTTTACAGTTCTGGGCCTCAAAAGATTTCTGTGTTCCCATATCTGGTTATATGATAGCTTGATACTATCTGTGTTGGATAGATGAAAACTTCCAAACTTGTTTTTCCTATAAGAATATATCTGTTTTCTTTTGTAATTGAAAAATTAAAGTCTTCAATCATTAACAAAATGTTGTCTACCTTGTGAATACTTTTAAGCTGTCGTGCTAAATCCTAATTTCTGAATAATTTGATAACAATTGTAATGAGAAAAGCCCCTAATTTCATTTTTACATTTTAATGAATTATTTGTGTTATATTTATGTAAACTGTCACAGCATGAAATCAATTTTCTGCCTTGATTCATCCCAAATCTGAGATTTCTATCACATTAATATTGTAATTGGAAACATTAATGGAGACGGCAATTTACAAAGCATGCTTCTCTTTTTGGCAGTTTAGCATTTTCTCAGAGTGCACAGGGCTTCGAGAACCTTCCGCCCACTAATAAATTTATTAACTCAAACTTAAAAGAAGTAGAAAGTCTCTCTTTCTTTCCTGCTCCCCATGGCCAGTCTGCTAAAATAGATTATTCATGCTTGTTTGATTCAGGTAGGCTTTTGCAAGCTTCCCTGCCAGGCCTGGGAATGGGCCACATTGGGGCTCTTTGAGAGGGTTCTGACATAGCCCAGGCCTTTATTGATGGTGTTTCATTAGGGCCAAATCCAGTCTCCACCCAGTTTGTAGGCACTCTGCTTAGCTTTTTGAATCAGGAAAGGTTATCACCCACCATAATCCGTGCTGCTGCGTGGATTAAGGACACCAGTATGCCCCAGGGTTCTCACAGAGGATCCTGGAAACTTCTGGTTTCTTCTTTTTTTGCTGTCTTTACTAAATTCTGTTGGGCCTCAGGGGGATTTGCATCTGAAATGGGCAACCTGGTGTTTTTCTCAATGAAGACATCAGATCAAAGTTCAGTTAGTCAAGGCCTTTCTAAAACGTTGAGGGGCTTGGGCTCACACAATAAAAAGATGAGCTCTGGCGGAGATTGCAGTGAAAACATTCTGAACTATAATCCGGATAAGGAATAGATTATAGGCCAGAGAACAGGCCTTGTTTAGGACTAAGGCTAAAACCTTGTTTTAGACTAATAACTACATTTAAAAACTTTGCACCCTATTTATATCAAGTGTATTTTAATGTCATGTAATTTATTTGTCAGTACTTTCATAGTAAGTGGGTAAATCAAGTTTTGGGAACCATAACTCTGTGCCTAATATTGCATTGGAAGGATCAAATTGAAGCCAACTGGTAGGTTTCTTTCATTGATGAAAATAAGTAGTATCTTAGGGAGAGAGGAACAGTTATTTTATTAGGAAATGTCAAACCCACAGACTAAGTCTGAGACAGTGCCTCTGTTAGAAATGTTTTATACCATTTTACTATATAATTTGGTGGGTATAGCTATTTAATTTACAAATAGAAATTTTTTGCAGTGTTAAATGGAGATATCAGGCAAATTTGTGTTTTTAATCCAAATTTAAAACTGTCATTTAGTAAGATACGATGTAGGATGAGAACCCACCATATATAGCTCTTTTGTTTCTGGAGAGATTATCTAGTGGTGAATGTTTTGAAATTTGCCTGGGTTTT